TCCTTCGATTCCACTTGAGATTACAAATTTGCCTGTAGTATTTTGCTATACTTTCAGATTCCCCAATTGGGGTAAACAACTCTGTGGATACTTTGTCAAGCACCTTCAGATCTTATTTGTTTCAATGCAATCATTTTTCATTGTTCTAAATACACAATTTACTCAATGTCCATTGTAAAACAGCCGTCTCTTCCCAGGGATCAATCTTGTGAACATTTGTTATACCACCTCAAATGCAAGTATATTCTTTTTTAAATTTGGAAACCGAGACTGCACATGGCACTCCAGGTGTGGTTTTATCAAGTGCCTGTACAATCGGAGCAAAATGCCATTATATTCCAATCCTGTTGCAATAGAGGGTAGCCAGTAAACTGTCTGCTAAATTGCTTGCTATACCTGCATGCTAATTTTATTTGTTCCTTGTGTGAGTACACCCAATCCTCCTGAAAATCAACATTTAGAAGTCCTGTGCCTTTGTGTTTGATGGTTGATGCATTGCATTGCCATGGAGAATGCAGCAATGAATCATTATTTCTTACACTTCTATTTCTGTAAAGCATTGCAGGGAATAAAGATTTCAAATTTTATATTTACTTATTTTTTCACTCTTTTTGTTTCCTGATGTGTTGTATCTGTGCATGAGGAAACAAATGACCAAGCCACCTACTCTCAAGGTACTATTATTATTCAGGCACCTGAGGTGCACAGGACAGTTTAAGGACAACTCTTCGTCTTCTCTCCCTGTCTGAGAGAAATGCCCAGCCACCAACCTGCTGCTTCTCACAATGATCTGGCTGAAATTACAAACTGTGTGAAGTAGAACTTGATCAGTATAATCTCAGTTTATGGTGTGCATCTTGATGTTGCACTAAAATTTTATCCATTCAGGAGAATTGTTTTAAGCCACAGTTTCTTCAAATCTGAAGTCATGAAAAGCTCTCCCTAAAAAGACCAACCCTTCATCCTTTCATATTTGTAAATTACCACTCCATCTCCAACTATTCCTTCCTACCTGAAGTCCTTGAACCTGCAGTTGCCTCCCATATGCATACTGATCTTTCCTGAACACCATGTTTGTATATCTGTAGACAGGTTTCTGCCTATGTGTCAGTCCCAAAACAGCTCATTTTAGTGTCACATTCTTTGCGACGGTGACCGTACTAAGTTATCCCTACTTATCCTTCTTCACCATTCCATTTTCCAAAGCATCTCCACCATTGTTCAGGTTGGTGGAACTGCACTTTCCTGGTTCTATTTTGATCTGTCAGTTCAAAGAGAGAATCACTTATAATTACTTTTCTTCTTTTGCGACATCTATCCTTAGTTCCCTCCTATTTGTCATCTTCTACATGCCACCCTCAGCAATATCACTCAGAATTACATCTTCAGTCTCAACATGTATGCAGATGACATCTAGCTCTACCTCAAGGTTATCTCTTTGTCTTTAAATTGTCCGACCGCTTGTCCGACCTGCAGTACTGCAGGAGCAGAAATTTCTTCCAATGAAAGTTTGGGAAGACTGAAACCATTGTCGTTGTTCTTCCCTTTCTCCAGCACTGAATCCATCTGCCTGCCTGTCAATTGTTTAGGGATGAACGTGACTGTAACATCTGTTCACATTTCCACACAATCGTTGACATTTTATTTCCACTTCTCTGGCAGCATTGTGGGAGAAACTGCATGGGTTTTCAAACAGACAGCTCAGGACCATCTTTTCAAGGGTATTGTGAATGAGTATATTTAGGTGCTTTGATTTATTGCAAACGTGCCTGTTGGAAAGGAATTCAATCAAATTAAGTGGCTAAATGCCATGACAGTGCGAAAGTTAAATGGACATTCAAAATTCTATTTAGCAAGGGGGTCCAGGAAGAGTCCTAATTTCCACTTTGAAATGTCAACTCCCATTGTAAGTATTTCAGGAGATTTTATCACCTACAATTCAACTTCTAGTTGGCCAAACCCATTCAAGAGCCTTTTTCCCATCACACTTCCAATACTTTGACAACTACTGATGTGATGAACGAATACTTAAAAACTCTAGTTGAATTTCCCTTTGATTTTCTTCCTCTGAGCTATTTGATGGGAGAATCGAGGAAAATACTGAAAACTTGACAACTCAGCACAGACTGAAAAGATGAAACTTTTGTAAAAGCAAGATATTATGGGTGCTGCAAACCTGAAATGACTTGTTAGCATCTACGCAGTGAGAAACAGAGTTAGCTGGTGACATTTCAGAATGGGAAAAGTTGGAACCATGGTATGTTTGAAGTAGATTAATGGTGCAGGGTATAAAAAGAATCAAAATGTAAGATCTTTGATGGGACAAAAGAAAGCAGACATCAAATTGATGTAAGCATTGGTACTAAAGAGACAAGTGGGGTGGTAATGAGAAGTAAAGAAACAGAAGATCACATAGAACATACAGCACAGAAGTCAGGCCATATAGTACATCCAGTTCATGAACATTTGTGTTTAAGCCAAACATCCTGTCCCAAATTTTCTGCCACGTTGTACTGTGAAAGGTGGGTAAAGGTACTTTTGACCAATTGGCAGTAACTCTTTTTTAACTCAGGTGCATTATGTGGTGAGACAGAGAAAGGGGACAAGAAACAGGAGAAAGTCCAACACAACTTTATTGAACACTTTATCAAGGAAAATGAATATTTATTGGACTGTACTGTTGTACTTTAATTAATCCCACCCAGACTCACCCCACACCTATATTTTTCATGACTAATTCACCTAACTTACACATTGCTGGACACTATAGGCAATTTAGCACAGCCAGTCCACCTAAGCTGTACCTCTTTGGACTGTGGAAGGAAACCAATGCAGACACAGTGAGAATGTACAAACTCCACACAGACAGTCACCCAAGGCTGGGATTGAACCTGGTTTCTAGTGCTGAGAGGCAGCAGTGCTAACCACTGAGCCACTGTGCCACAGCAGTAAATTATCTGAAATGTCTAAGTAAACAGTCTCAAAGCTATATGAGCTAACTAGTTCTGACTTGCGCTTCCAAGGATTTGCTTCACCCTTTTCACAGATCCCTACTGCTGTATTTGAACTGTTTGTTTGAAAGGACTGTAATACCCATTGAATAAGGCTGGGATCTGCAATCATCGATCCTGGTCTTCGGTTTGTCTCACAGACGTAGTGTCTCTGTGTCTGGTCCGCTCGCCATAAGGTACAAGGAGCTGGAGATGCTGTGCAGCTTGGCTGTGAGTTAAAAGTGCTCTCTGGAGATGCCATTGAAGAAGGTGCAAAAATCAGAGTGAGCTGGGGCTCTGGGTTCCCCTTTTATCCCCCTCACTGCGCCCTTCTCAAAGATTCTGGGCCTGTGTCCAATACCAGCATCTGGTAGGGCAGGAAGATCCAATGAGGTGACTACTTTCCATAGTTGGAGGTTACAGAACATGGTGTTGAACCTTGAACTGTCAAGTGCTGTCCTTGTCACACTATGCCTTTGGCCTCCTAGTGAGCACCAATTCTGTGTAACATTCTTCTAACAAAGCAAGTTCACTGGAGGTGTAAACAATGGTTCATTTTGAACAATGTGGCCGTTGGCACCTGGCCAGGCAGTTCCAGACCTTTTTCATCCGGTATTGGAAAAGTTTATTGACTTCGCTTCCCATTTCCACCCCAATCTCACTTTCACCTGGTCCATCTCTGATTCCTCCCTTCCCTCCCCTGACATCTCTGTTTCCATTTCTGCGGATAGGCTGGCCACCAATATCCACTATAAACCTACTGACTCCCACAGTTACCTTGACTATTCATCCTCCTACCCTGCTTCCTGTAAAGACTCTATTCGATTCTCCCAGTTCCTCAGTTTCCATTGCATCTGTTCCGATACTGCAAATTGACAAGGTGGCCTCTGAAATGTCCACCTTCTTCCTCAACCGAGGTTACCCCAGCACCGTAGTTGACAGGGCCCTCAGCCATGTCCGACCCATCTCCCACACTTCGGTCCTTACTCCCTCTCAACCCTCCTGTAACAGCAATAGGGTCCCCCTTGTCCTCACCTACCATCCCATCAGCATCCACATCCAAAAGATCATTAGCTACCATTTCCGACACCTCCAGTGAGAAGCCACCACCAGATGCATATTTCCCCCCCGCTCCCTTGTCAGCCTTCTGCAGGGTCCATTCCCTTTGGGACATCCTTGTCCACTCTTCCTTCACTCCCAACACACTTCCACAGCCTCACAGCACCATCGGAGATAGCAAGAACTGCAGATGCTGGATTCAGAGTCAATACAGTGTGGAGCTGGAGGAACACAGCATGACAGGCAGCATCAGAGGAGCAGGAGATTCGACGTTTTGGACGCAGACCCTTCATCAGGACATTTTAGACTTTCACATTAAGTGGAAGATGGCTCAGGTGACTGCAATGGCACAGGTTCTAGGAATTAGCCAGACCTGTGCCACATAAAACACCAAGAGTACCTCATATTTGATGATCAGGTTTTTACTTGCAATCGAGAGGGAGCAGTGCTCTCATCTGCCCAGTTTCTGTCTCACTTTGATGATACACTCCTCTCAAGTTTTTGCATATGCCTCTGAATCGTATTCCCAGCACCTTCAGATAATCTGTCCTGATGGTGAAGGGGATAAAGGATTAGTCAGCCCAGTTGCCAAAGATCATAGCCTCACTCATGCCTCGTCTTATTTTGGCTCCCGAGGCCTGTTCAAACTGCTCACAGATGCTCATGAGTCTGCACACTCCTAGCAGAAAATGGCAACATCATCCATGTATGCAGGGAGGCTTTGACCCACAGACCTCCACTGCCTGGAATTGATACCCATCTCAGGCTCACATCCATCCTATGGATTTGGCAAAAGGCTCTGTACAGCACACATACAAGGTAGGAGGGAGTGGGCAGCCCTGCCTGACTCCAGATCTGATCTGGAAGCTTTCTGATTCCCACCCATTGATTAAGACCGCACTACTGGTGTTGATGTACAGCAGTCAGATCCAATTTCAGATTCCATCCCCAATGTCCATTTTGGCAGTGATCAGAGAAGAATACCAGCTTTACGTCGGTGGATCTGGCCTAGAATATGCGGGATACAATGTCCCACAAGTACGTGTGGGATATCCTGCCAAAGGCCTTCTCCTGGTCCAGGCTGATGAGGCAGGT